GAAAAATAAATCCTATCAGTTGTTATTTATCTGAGGCAGGTCCTCCACACATTACCTCTGCTAATTGATGTTCTATTGTATGTTTTTATCAAACCCTATTATTCTGTTTAACCTGTTTATAATAAAACTAATTATTGTACATAACAAACATATAATCAAATGGCTACAAACACTATCGCAAAAAATAACCCATATGAATGTAAATTATTGTATAATTATTCAAATGAGTAAAATTTAAAGTGATTTTATTAATGATATACAAGTAGAACTAAGTAATTAATATTTTGAAAACTACGGACTACCTTATAAATAACTTAAAGCGAATTTAACTGGTAAATTATAGTGATTCGAAAAAACAAAAAAATACTGTGAAAAAGTAGGTACTATTATTTGTCTGTTCCTTCCACTCCGGCTTGAGTCATCAGATCGCCTATGTTTTTCTCAAGATCGTCTATCCTGTTTCCCATTTCATCAATTCTCGTTAGTATTTGGTCTGACATATTTTGAAACTTATCCTGGATTGTTTGCAATAAACTTTGTACCTAAAAAATTTGTTTAAATTTCCATTTTATAGGTTAGAAATATACCAAACTTACGTATTGTGTCAGTTCTTGTACATTTTTGGGATCATTTGTACTTAAACTCGTGTAAGTTTCACTGTCGTTGTCGTTGTTCATTTCTACCTTATCGTCAACCATTCTAAATCTGAAGAATACGAAATTGATGTTATTTGTCTATAAAAACTCAAATCGCTTTTTATTTTGTTTGATCGAAAAATGTCGCCACTTGCGCCTGGTACCGGTGTTGCCAGTTATTAAAAATTTTAAATTTAAATAATTTATGAACGAAAAGAATACCATGAGGATATAATGTATTATTAGGGTCGATTCCACCGTTGTGTTAAACGGAGATTAAAATGACATATTGTTAATGTAAAAATGTCATTTTAAACTTCGTTTAACACAACGGTGGAATCGGTCCTTAGAAATTTAAAGTTGTACTTCACAAATAATTTATTAATTAACTGTTATACTGAATCTCAGCCCATACAGCACACATTATTTCAGAAGTGTTTCAGAAATATTTCAAACATTTTACACATATAACAATTCAAGCACAAGTTCCTGAAATATTTCTGAAATATTTTAGTTAAATATTTCACTGAAAATGTTTCTGAAACATGGTGTACATGTTACACAAAAGATTACTAAACGGGTTATGTTGTAAAAGGCCAACACTTAATGAAGAATTTCTGATTTGTAAGAAGATCAATATTCGATATTTTATTTTGTTTCATCCTATGTCCAGCCAGAGGCAACCCTATATTCTAAATAATTATAGATTTGAGTTGTCGGTTTTTGTCATTTCCTTTTTTTGTTATTTATGCGTTGGGCTATTGTTATAAGGGAAGCAGAATAGGCAGAATATGTCTTTAGAAATTGAGGCGACCCAGGCAGCACACCAAATCCTTTGGATATCTACTGCACATCCCAATATCCACTGAATGTCCAGTCCATGGTGGATATCTATTTTATATCCATGATATGTAATTTATAGACATGCAAATGTCCATAAATAATAGTAATTATATAGCAAATTATTAAAAAATTACGCCATTGGGCTCGCCATTGTGGCTAAAAGTACCGTTCAGATATTTAAAATTAATTTTTTTAAGGTGTATTCAATATCCCATGGACATCCACTAAATATATCAAAGTCTAGGCGCGAACGCAAACCATCGTGGATATCCACTAGATGTGATTTGATTTTGCTTACTAAGTATAGATGGCGATACCACTTTCCCATCTACTCATGCTCGACCCGCCGTAATTGAGTTCGATCGAAATTTGTGTTCTAATCAGACTCCATTAGAGACTGGAGTCGAGAATTTCTATTTATTGCTGAAGAGTCCTAATAAGGATGACTTTCTCCTTAGTGGGCAAAATCAAAGGCAGAGTGTTGAAAATATTTTGAGTGTTGAAAATATTTTGAGTGTTGAAAATATTTTAAATGTTGAAAATATTTTTTATCTCTGCTATTTTCTTTCGACGTTATTCAATAATCATTGGTTACTTGAACCTCTACTAAAGATAAAATATATGTTGCTGAATATCCGAATATCTTCTATATCCTGGGATATAGACGGACATTTGGTTGGATATCCATATATATTGGATATTTTGAATATCCACAAAATATATTCTGTGGATATCTCTGGGTTTTCTTGTATTTTCTGGAAGATACCCATTAGATATTTTGCTGGATATCCATTAGGATATCTTCTATATTCTGGATATAGACGGACATTTGGATTTCCATATTAGATCCACGGAATATTTCTGATATCCTGTGGATTGGATATCCACAAAAGATATTCTGTGAATATCTCTGGGATTTGGTGTGTTGTCTGGGGAGTATTACAATGCTTGGTTAGGTAAGGTTTATTAACGTTATCTCATCTCTGAGACGAGGTACGCGAGTTCGTTTATCAAATTTATAGGCATACGAGTATATTTATTGCCGCGTTTGAGAATCCACATCGGATGCATTTTTTACATCTCGATCGTTTTTTTATCCACATCAGACACATCTGTCCCATTACATTTACATATACTGAATCACGTGATCAAAGATTTACTACATCTCAGATGCATCCGATGTGGATTCTCAAACGCGTCAAATGTAATGGGACAGATGTGTCCGATGTGGATAAAAAAACGCTCGAGATGTAAAAAATGCATCCGATGTGGATTCTCAAACGCGGCATAAATATAACCTGCATTTACTGTCCCACCACCAGTTTTATTTATTAGTTCTACAGCTGAAAAGTGGAGCTTCATGTTTTGTATAGGCAGGAGTATTGTTTGTTTTATATTATATTTAATTTAAAACAATATTAATAGACCTTTTTAATTACCTATAATTTGTTTCAGATTAGTGCATTTAAAGGAATTTGTGAAAATGAAGAGATTCGCCAGCTTTGGGGCTGTGCCAGTAAAAGTAACATCGAAGTTATTCAAAGTTTCCAGAATAATATATTAAGGAACATTGTCGATGCACCCTGGTACCGGCACAATAGATCTTCATAGGGACCTTAAAGTGGAGACTTTTAAAAATACAATACAAAAATTTGCCAGTAGTCACTAACAACGACTGCTCCAACATGAAAAACTTGATATTATCGAGCTCCTCAATAATGTCAATCTAATAAGAAGACTCCAGAGAATTAGCCTTTTGAGTTAGTTCAGTGAAGCAGAGTATAGTGCGGTTAAGTGTTATACGTTAACGGTAGTGTACAAGGACCGATTCCACCGTTGTGTTAAACGAAGTTTAAAATGACATTTTTACATTAACAACGTCATTTTAATCTCCGTTTAACACAACGGTGGAATCGGTCCTAACTAAATAATTAGACTCTAAGGTATATACTAGTGAGTAGAATATTAGTTTATGAAGTTTTTCATCCCTTGATAAGTTAGATTAGAATAAAATTGCTAATTTATCTAAGGGCCGATTCCACCGGTGTGTTAGAGGGATATTAAAATGACATTGTTAATAATTATTTATTTGTTTGTTTAAGAATTAATGTTTGAGTTTTGTGTATTTTAAATAAACATGTAAATTTATAAATGTCTTCTCTTTGTCTAATAATATTTTAGAAAAAAAAGTTAGAATACATTTCTGAAATATTACTATTTAATATTTCTAAAAGATTTCAAATTTTTATTTCAGAAAAATAACTGTGAAATATTATAATTACAGGGCATTTCTACGTTTCAGGCACATTTACGAAATGTTTCTCGGATGTTTCGTAATATTTATACAACATATTACAAATGTTTCAATGTAATATTTTTGAAATATTTCCGAAATGTGTTTGTGCTGTATGGGAGACGGTTTGCAGCAAATTTAGAAGAACCCGCAGAACAATCGCCAGAAAACAAACTACATAATAATAATAATAATAATAATAATAATAATAATAATAATAATAATAATAATATTAATAATAATAATAATAATAATAATAATAATAATAATTTATTAGCCAAAAAAAAAATACAGAAATTTACAACTGAGAGTCAATAATAATTTTCTAACAAACAAAAGACAAAGCCACAGAAGGAGAATTTTAAAAATTCTACTTGTGCGTGGCACGAAATAATAATGGTAATTAATTACGTAAATATAAATAAATCGGTATAAATAAATGTCTAAATCGGTATACATGTCTAATTCGGTATATGTCTAAAACGGTATATATGTCTATGTCTAAATCGGTATACATGTCTAAATCTATAAATATATGTATATGTCTAAATCGGTATATCAGTTTAAATTGATAGTGTAAATTGATACACTACTTTAGACCAGTATGTAACATAATGAGCCTTAATCTTTAAACTGTGCACGAACCGACACGTATTTTAAGTATTTATAACATGGGCAAAGTAATGAAGATATAATATATAAAATGCAAACTGCAAGAGTAAAATCTAAATATGAATCATTACAAAAAGTACTTTGGATCATTAACGATTCATCCAAAAATCGTTCTTAATATTTACAATTTAACAACAAAATATGTGTACTATTTTTCTCGTGCCGTGTTAAAAGGACTAATAATTTGTTTGTTTTTACTTTTGTCTGCTATTTTTGCTAAGCATTGGCAACACCACAAAAGAACCATCCCTACCGAACACGATAATGTAACGTGAAGTTGCCAAATCTACTCCTTATCAATTTGTTAGACATTTTATTAGGCTTATTACTAAGTATGATTCAAACTAATATAATTTAGAACAAAGCCTTAATAGTAAACTAGTTTAAATTATAAAAATTTATTGATTTGCTTGTTGCCTGATACCTATGGTTTTCACAATTATTGATTTTTATAAAATGATTTGGCAATGTTTTACAACTTCGGGTATATTCGCAACACTTATTGTTCAAGCATTAGAGAGATAATTAAGCATGTTGACATTCGTGTCAATGTCAAACTTAAAAATAATCAAAATCAGCTGATTAATATTTGTGAGCTTGACGGTATAAGTTATTGTTATTCGTATTTCTTTTTCTGGGGTTAAAAATATATCAATATGGAAATTTTAAAGTAACAAAAATATACGAATTAAAAATATGGGTGGTTATTGGGCATATTTGCCGTACCCAGCATTGTATCAAATATTTCAACATTTAACATATAAAGAGCTTATTTCTGCAGGACAAGTGTGTAAAGTGTGGTATGAAGCTAGTCTCGACGATTTATTGTGGAAAGAATTGTTCCTCAAAAATTTTATTGTGGACAGGTCTATTCCAGTAGTTGCAGGTAAGATTTATAAACATTTACAATATTTTCTCGGAGGAATTAAAATATTTATGTTTATTAATTCCCAGATGAATTAATTATTAGTATTGTAATGAGCCCGACAATCAAAATAAAACAATACATTTGTATTATTGTTTGGCTCAATTATAAAATATTCTTCATGTAGGTGTACCTAGGTATTCGATTTAGTTAATTAGCTGATTATTAAAACATCTAGATTTAGATGCATTTTTTTAAATATTAAAATTAATAAAAATTTTGTTAATGGCCAAAACTGAAATGTTCTAAAATTCTAAAAATAACTTATGTTATGATTTAAAGTAGGTACATTATTGAACAATTTATATGGTAAACAGCTACATTAAATTTAAATTAGGTATAAGTATGGTATGGTATTATTCACAATTCACAAAATGAGGTAAAACTAATTTTTTTTATTTATGTTCCTTGATTCCTCTATAAATCATCTAATTTTTGGTCAATATTGCATTAATTCCTAGAAATCTTTCATTTTTATTTTGTCACCTTATACAGACTAGATGGGTTATGAATTACAATTTTTATTTACAAAAAAAAACATTTAATAGAATCATTATTTAATATAATTTTCATTTAATACAGGTAGAACATGGTATGAGGAATTTAACAGGTTATCTTACCACATACCAGTTGTACAAACAGAGATATTATTAGAACACTCAGACCAGGTGTTGCATGTTAGTTTTTCCCACAATGGAAAGTATTTTGCTACATGTTCCAAAGATGGATATGTCATTGTAAGTATTTATCATCTAATAAGGTAACAGGGTTATACATGGTTGCTTATCATTGTTCATTGTTATATTTAGCTAAAAAATATATATTATATTTAATAAAGTTTTAAATGGTGGAATATGTGTATTAAAATATAATTTATTACAACCTTATTTTTTCTTAAGAAATATTTTCCTCTTTTGAAAGCGGTAAATACCAGGTTTTAAAAAATAATAGTGCTAAAATCAATGGTGAAAATCTACCTTTAAGAAACCAAACTGAGAAAAACACATTATGTTAAGGTTCCATCAAGTTTATTAATAAATTAGAATATAATTTGGTTTATTTAGACCCAAAGCTTAAGACTATGTGGGTCTTACAAGGTACAAATTTTATAATATATCACAGAAGAAGAATTCGGTATCTGCTTAGTTATAATAATAATACTACTACTACTACAAAATAACTAATAATAATTAAAAAAAAAAAAAAAAATACAGTAATTTAATATTACACTATTATTTAAACCCTTTTTAAACATGAAGATATCAACTAAGAAAATTCTATTAAGTGAGCTTTTAGTTTTTTTTTTAAGAGATCAGTCCTTATGTTCTTTATGGTGCTAGGAAGCTCATTGTATTGTCTTAGACCATCAGATAGTATGCTTCAGTCACCAAAGCATGTTCTTACAGCTGTGGTTTTGAAGCAGCGATTATTCCAAGTATTATATCTATGGATATCATAGGAAGTAGTCATTTGTATGGATGAGTGTATATTATTCAGAGATAGGTTATGAATAAAAATGCATATCTGATATTTAGAGAGGCACTGAATGTCTAGAATATTATTTGGACGATACAAAAGATCAGTAGAATGACAAAAAGGAAGTTGAAAAGCTTTTCTGACTTCTCTATACTGTAAAATTTGCATGGGTTTTAGTCTATTTTGGGAAGTTTTGCTACAAATAAGAGTTAAATATGATAGATGTGAATGAATTAATGAATGATACAGTCTTCCTTAAGTCAGCTGAAAGGTATCAGGCAACACGTCCCAATACTCCAATGGCAGGACTAATTTTTTTACACAATTGAGCAATATGATCTTCCCAGTTGAGCTTGGAATCTATGTATAAGCCAAGATATTTAATGCATTCTGTCCTAGTCAACTGTTCATTATCTATATTTATTTGGAATTGGTTCCATTCAGGCTTTTTTGATGTCACTAAAAACTTGACTTTTCAGTATTCAGAGTTAATTTATGAAACTTTAACCACTCAAGAATTTGAATTAGATCTTGCTCTATAATATATATTATTTCATTTGTATCTTTTCTAAAATAGATGAGACAAGCGTCGTCAGCATAAAGTTGCAAATAACCAGCTAGTGGTAGCTGTTCTATGGAGTTTATATAGATCAGGAATAACGTTGGTCCAAGAATAGTTTAGCACTACTTCTGAGCCTTATTTTTAGTCTGATTTTTGTGAAATTTTCAGGAAATACCAACAATAACAAAACTTAGGGCGAAGAAACCTTAAATTTTTTGTAACCCTTTTGAAGAGTTTTTAATGTGATATTATTTTAAAGAAAAACCTTTATAAAATCTACTTATTAGCCGATGTAAGGTCGACCTTCATCCTTCTGTTTAATGGATGAAAGTTTTTATTAAATATGTTTATAAATATAAGAAAATATGGTCTATTTATTTTCTTAAAGTAAAAAAATGACACACTATAAAGCATTCCCAAGATGCTTTGACTATGCCCAAAATTTAATCAGTTCACCGCAGGATGGATTAAAGCTTTATTTTAAAATTTGGTATTTTTCTCTTTATCCGTTTTTGAGTTATCTTCAAAATTCGAAATTTGCACTTTTCCTCAAAAATCTCGAATATGGTCCATTTTAGGGAAATCATGTACAGGACCAACATTATAGAGAATGACATCACAAGCAAGTTTTATCATGATTCCTTTACTTTCCTTATCTTTATACAGAAAGGAAAGTAAAAAATAGCTGTTACAGTATTTTCATAGGCAATCCATTTGCATTTTTATTTGTTAAACAGATGGGTGAAGGTCGGCCTTACTTCGCATTGTGTACTATATGAAAATTTGCTCCTTTTTGTTTTAATAAACATCTAGTAGTTTTTTAATGGAAGGATTTCCTACCTTTTTTCCTTAATGTCTCTGTAGAGTGCTGCCTTATCATTGCACAAATTTAAAGCTCTCAATATTCTGAAGACTCATGATCACGAAGTAGGTATTCCCAGTGGCACGCAAATAAATACAATTTTATATTAGAAAATCCTTAAAACAGTTTCGCTTTCGTGATAGGTCCGGTTTGCTTTTAAGGGTCACATTAAATTTGTCTTTTGTTTCAATATTTATATTCAGAATTTGTATTTGACAGTTTGAATTCGTATAGCTATTTATGAAACCAGTTACGAAATGCCTTATTTTATGTAACGCGTGAATATTTGTGGGACGAGCAGAGCGAGGTCCCACAACATGAACGAGTTACATAAAACAGCATTTCTTAACGTGTTACATATAACATTTTTTCTAATTTTGACTAAATTATTTATAAAATTGTGTTATGGTAAGAAATCACTGACATCTAGGCAACCAATATTACTACTTTCGTGTATTGTTAGTTGCATATGCATCATTTTATTAACAGAACATTTATTTATTATCAACGACTTGTAGTGTTTATACTGTTAAGTGTACAGTATGTATTTATTATTTATAGGTATTTATAATAAAACCATGTTACTTGACTAAGGACCGATTCCACCGTTGTGTTAAACGAAGTTTAAAATGACATTTTTACATTAACAATGTCATTTTAATCTCCGTTTAACACAACGGTGGAATCGACCTTAACATACATTTATTCAATCTCTTGGCAGGCCGCAGGACGCCAACCTCATTCGTTACACACTCGTACCAACTCCATGATATGCAACATACATTACACACACACATTGTACATGTGTGTTGCCTATCTACATCCCCTTTTCTAAGTTTACGTTTAATAATAATTGTGATTAAAGATCCAGCCTCTGAGGTGGCTTACTGACTACCTGAAGATGTTTGATGTCTTTGATTCAGGAAGCGATTCTCAGAGTCTGTTTCTTCAGGTTCACTACAATCTGACGGTGACATTTTGACATATGGTTTAGTGTCTTGACTTTCCTTACTATGTATGTTTTCACTAACACTTCCCTCTTTACTATCCTCATTTTATTAAATGTGTGACCCATATAGTCAATTGAACTTAATCCAAACTTGCATTTATTCATATTGAATTTAACCCCATTATTTTTTGCAATTTCCAGCACCCTTCTCAGTCTACAATCATGATCCGTTTTATTTTTATCCCAGATTAAAACATCAATATACACATCAGTCCCTTCACCTGCAAATAATTTTTTGAACCTTTTTTGAAACGTTTTCGGTGCAGATTTGATACCATAGGGTAATCTTAAGAATTTATACATGCCATATGGAGTATTGAAAGTACAAAGTTTTGTGCTTTCTGCTTCTAGCATGATTTGGTACAACCCGTTATTTGCATCTAAGGTACTGAAGATCTTTGCACCTGAGAGTTTACTGTTGAAATCTTCAATTGTGGGAATTCCGCAGTATTGTCTTTTTATGACTTTATTCAGATCTTCTGGATCTAGACATATGCGAAGTTTTCCGTTTGATTTTCTGACCAAGACAAGTGCATTTATCCAATCAGAGGAAGCCTGAACTTTTTCAATAATTTTCATTTTTTCAAGATCATTTACAATTAGTGCATTTTCTAGGTCTTTCTGAAGGGGTCAAGCTACTTTTCTGGTAGGCTGCATTATTGGTTGAGCATTTTGTTCAAGTTCAATGTGATATGGTTCATTTTTTATACAACCTATACCAGAAAATATCTCGTTATAGGTTTTTATTAGAGGCTCATAATAATTTTCATTAATTGAATCTACTTTTAGCATTAAACCCATTTCACATAATGCCTTCAGTGTCTTTTTGCCTAGTATTTCCAATGACTGTCCTGTATAGGATTTAAGTTTTGTATTGTCTAAAGTTGTATTATTGTAATTATACTGTAGTTCTTTGATTTTTTTAAAAAAAAATTATGTTTGCCATTGCTCCCGTATCTATTTTAAATTTGGATAGCTTATTATTTATAAAAAATTCTACCATCCACTGTTCTTTTATTATTTTTGAATTTTCCATTTCTAGATTGTCAATCTCAATACTACCTATAAATAAATGTTCATTCTTTATTAAATTAACTGAATTTATTTGTGGTTTTGAAATTTCTGAAGCAGTCTCATCAATAACATTTATTTTATTCGATTTCTTTTTGCAGACATTTGAGAAATGATTAGGAGTTCTACAAAAGTTACATAACTGGCCATAAGCCAGACAATTATTTAGAGGGTGTGACTTACCACATCTGTAACAATTTCGGATTGATTTAAATTTAGTGTTTGGTTTCCTTACTAGGTCAACTTGAAAAGATGGAGCTTCCATTTCTTTGCTTTCTTCTTGAGTTTTCTCCATAACAAAATAAATTTCTTTGACTTTTTCTATTGTGTTCGGGTCCTCTTGCAACAGTTTTTGTCTGATGTTAGAGTTTGAGACGCCACAAATGATCATAGTCTTTGTTAAATCATCTTCCAAATCTTTGAATTTACATTTCATTGCCAAACGTTTTAATTCAGTTATAAAGTTCTCCATTGTCTGCCCTGGTTGTTGCTTAAATGCAAAAAATAGGTACCGCTGGTAGTTAGTATTCTGTTTAGGTAGAAAATGCGCTTAGAATTTTTTTTAAACGCACGTCTAACTTATTTTTCTCATCTAGAAATGAAAATGTTCTGTAAATCTTGAACACTTCCTCCCCGATGTAATGCAACAGTTGGGCACATTGCACGGTTTGTGTTTTACTGCCTAACTCACTAGCGATTAGGTAATTCTCAAACCTCGCTCGCCATATTTGCCAATTTTCGGCGAGGTTCCCCTGTA